CAACCCCCAGCCTACAGGCCAAATTTGGCCTATGGAACCATGCCATCCAGCCTGCAGAGGTCTCCACATGTCTGAAAATTTGGTAGCAGTGACAGCAGTTGCCACTTTCCTGCTGCCAAATTTCTAGACCCATGGGGAACCTCACAGGCTTGACAGCATGCTAGGTCAGTATGCGATGGTGGCCTGGGGCCTGATCTGGGTACGCAGGCACAAGCTGGAGGTAGTATGGGGCCAAGTGGAGGTAGTGTGGACCCAGGAAAGCAACACAGGGCCCCAATCTGGTGGCACAAGGCCACAGAAAGCAACATGAGGCCCTCATTTAGGGGTGTGGGGCTGAGGGAGGTGGTGCAGGGCCATAATCTGTTTGTGGACTGGCTTTGCAATGCTCATTCAGCCCATGGCATCAAAAAATTGAGCACCCCTGAGCTAGTTCTTTTGTGAGGAACCATATTCTGTCAGAGACCTATTGCTCCTAAACTTAGAACAGGTCTTCTTAAAGGCAAAATGATTGTGAATTATTTTGTTGTCCTCCTCATTCACTTCTTTAAAGATACTCGCATTTGTGACTCGAATTATACAGAAAGTCAGATTGGATAATTAGAATCGGTCCCTTCTGACCATAAAAACTATTAGTACTGAACAGAAGGACATATTGCATGGTTATTTCTCTTTGTGACCTATCTTCTAGTTCTTACACAATATTGTGTTATCTTCGAATACTTTGTCTTACTTAGGTTACAGCTTAATATTTTTTCTCTTAATTACCAGTAGACATATGTATTTCCCCCTAATATAAATGTTATGATTATATTGAATGCACATAATGATAAAGTATTTTTTTCTGAATTCCTTTTTCCAAAAGAGATCTTAATCTCGTAATCACTACTACATGTCATTGGCTTATAAAATGGAATTGTCATAAAGGGGCAAGCTCATTATTTTTGCATCTCCATTGATCATCTTGTTCAAATTAGTTTATAGCCTGTTTATATTGCATAACTCGAAGAAAAAAGGCCTATAACTTGTCTTAGCTTTTTGGCTTTTAGGATAACAGTTATAGAGTTTGAATACTGCAAAATCTTTAAGCATTTGTTTAAGTGTTCTGTGGAATTAAGACCTGTAGGAATATTTTGAATAATGATGTAGAGACCATATCTCAGCTACTTTAACTGTATTCTAATTTTTTTTCTGAAAATTGGATTACACAGTATTAAATATATAGTAAATTTAGTTACTATTTTCTGAAATGAGCAGCCCCTCTGTCCTTAAAATATATTTGTGGATGATTCTGAAGGATCAGGCACTGGGCAGATTGAGACTTTTGAAAAGTGGGGTGCAGATGGTGCAGTGCCTCATCACAGAACACAGTACATATTTTTTCTCCAGTTAAAAAGAAATTAGACACTTTATTAATATGCTAGGACCCCAGAGCTATAATATTCAGTTTAAGATTGAAGCAAAAAACAAATATAACTTTATTAACATGCACATTCATTTGCTATATTATGTGTAAAAATACAACTAAGTAGGAAAAAATAATCAAAGTGTGTTGTTTAATTAGTTCTGCAGTTATTAGAATGAAATATCCATCTCTCTTATCAGAGCAACAGTTATAACCTCCTAGAAGAAGGTTTCAGACTAGATATAAGGATGAACTTCTTCATGGTTTGTGTGGCCAGACTGGAATAGACTCCCAGTGGGGATGGTTCAGGCACCTACCCTGGAGATCTTCAAAAGGAGACTAGAAGTACACCTTGTTGGGGTTATTTGACCCTAGCAGTCTATAGAACACAATCTAGGCTTCCTGAGCATCTTGACAGTGCATCTAATGCTTCACTAAAGTTATTTCCATACCTGAGTTGATGATTACCTGAATTAAGGTTTCCACATATTAGTTAATGTTTTAGCTACAGTCAAACACGGGGCTGTGAAATAGGAGCTACATTACCAGGAGCAGCTAACAGACAGCAGAATTGCAGAAGAAAGGGTAGCTTAATTAATGGAATAGCATGACCATTAAAAAGGAGAAAGGTTGTTAATAGTGTGCGCACCGGGAGCGACCCGAGCCCTTTTTCGTGCTGCACGCGGGCTGTGGCCAGCAGCCCGGGCACGCTGGATCGGAGAGGGAGGGCGACGAGCTGGAATTAGGCACAAACGCTTAGCGGTAGTTTTAAAGATTGTTTACTTACACCGAGATGGCAGTGGTGTAGGCTGGAAAACTTGCTTGAGTTGCGGTTACAGACAGGAAAGAAGAGAGCCACCTCTTGACAAGAGTTCTAAACTCGTGAACTCTAGCCCAGTCCGGCTGAGGGCTCTAAACACGTGAGCCCGTCGTGTCAACCGAAGAAAGTACTCATCCAAAAAGAGCTCTGAATAAACTCACACGAAGTTTGGTAGGCTCTGTGGGTCCTTCTGCTCACTCATCCACACGAAGTTTGCTAGGCTTTGTGGGTCCGGTTCTTTTGCGCGCAGGGAGGGATACGTCTAGGAATCTATCGGCGACGGGGAGAGGCTAGAGGCTGATCAGACCTCTGTTGCCTGCTTGAAATGCGTTGGGTCCGTAAGGATCCGCAGCGCTTAGAGATCTTCACACAGCGTGAAGTCTCCTCCTCCCGGTGTTC